ATCCCATTCACAATAGCTATAAAAAGTTAAATACCTGGCTGATCAGCCAGGACTCAAGCAGCACTCCAGTGTGGTATGCTGGGGTAACACCTGGAAGCTTAACCAATTATACCCCAAGGTTGGCTCCTGTGGAATCATTTTTGAGCCTTTTAAGGTTGGCCCCTGTGAAACATTTTTGAGCCTTTCATACCCCTTACTCTTGAAGAACGGAGACAATTACTTGTAGTGTATTTGTCTATGTGTGCTTTTCCCATGTTTTCTTATAATTAGATTCAGGCTATTCAATGTTGAGGAGGATATCATGGAAGTGTTGCTGTCTTCCTTTTATCCTAACGAGTGCTGAATGATTAATATTGTTCAAACACTAATACGCATGTTAATTAGTTGATTAATGTTGCTACCTTCTACACTGCAATTATTTTGTCATTTGTAAAGAATAAAGTATTTTCTGGTGAGAACTTTTAAAAAAAAGTTAAATACCTTGGAATAAGGGTTAATCTTATGAGTAAAAAGTTAATTGAAAAATAGATCTTGGTAAAAATTAAGAATGGGAATAGGATAGGTAGGATGAAGAAGGGTTGGAACGTGGGTGGAAGGGAGGGCAATTTGGAAGGAGTGACTATGTACTTAAATCGGTATACATGAAATACTTTTATAACAACTAAAGTTTAAAAAATAAATTTAAGGGCTGATGCTGTGGCATAGTGGGTAAAGTCACTGACTGCAGTGCCAACATCTCACAGGGGCACCAGTTTGAGTCCTGGCTGCTCCATTTCCAATCCACCTCTCTGCTAAGGCCTGGAAAAGCAGTAGAAGACGGCCCAAGTGCTTGGGCCCCTGCACCCCTGTGGGAGACACGGAAGACTCTCCTGGCTCCTGGCTTCAGATTGGCGCAGCTCTGGCTGTTGCGGTCATCTGGGGAGTGAACCAGCAGATAGAAGGCATGTCTCTGTCTCTGTCTCTGTCTCTCTCTGTCTCTCTCTCTCTCTCTCTACCCCTCCTTCTCTCTTTGTGTAACTCTGAGTTTAAAAAAAATAACTAAGGGGCCGGTGCCATGGCACAGTAGGCTAATCCTCCACCTGCGGTGCTGGCATCCCATATGGATGCTGGTTCTATTACCGGCTGCTCCTCTTCCAATCCAGCTCTCTGCTGTGGCCTGGGAAAGAAGCAGAAGATGGCAGAAGTGCTTAGGCCTAAAATAGAAAAGACTGAGTCCTATTGAACCTACTGAACCCGCATGGGATACCAGGAGGAGGCACCTGGCTCCTGGCTTTGGATTGGCACAGCTCTGGGCACTGCAGCCATTTGGGGAGTGAACCAACGGAGTGAAGACCTTTCTCTCTGTCTCTGTCTCTCCTTCTCACTGTCTGTAACTCTACCTCTCAAATAAATAAGTAAAACCTTTAAAATAAATAAATAAATAAATAAATTTAAAGTATATCCTATTTTGATGTAGTAATACAAAAGTAAAAAAATAAAAAAGCGTACCCTTTTTTCTTCCTTAGGGTAACTCTTTCCTTACTCATGTATCTCTACAAACCTGAAAAATGACTGAGTTTGAATGTGTAAAAACAGATGGGGTAGGTGGGAATAAAAGCATCCTGCAAAAATTCTTTTTTAGACAAAAAAGGAGATTGTATAAGAAATGTACAAAAAGATCTCTATCTTTGAAAAATAACATTTCAAATAAAAGGCTGTTACATTTAAAAATCACAGACTTCATTTTCTGGAGACTCTCTGGACTTCCATCTTTGGTATTTTCTCTGAAGATGAAGAGGTTATGCTGATGGCCCACAAGGAGGCATGAGTGTCATGTTATAAATACTGTTTTAAAAGTCTATCTTTATGTATTTGAAAAGCAGAGCTACCGAAACACACATACACACATAGAAGGTGGGGGGAGGGAGAGAGAGAGAGAGAGAGAGATCTGCCAGTTGTTGATCTGTTGGTTTATTCCCCAAATGTCCACAACAGCCAGGACTTGGCCAGTCTGAAACCAGGAGCCAGGAACTCATCTGAGTCTCCCACATAGGTTGCAGGGATCCAAGTACTTGAGTCATCACCTGCTGCCTCCAGGATGCACATTAGTAGGAAGCAGGATCAGAACTGGAAGCAAGGCTTGATCCCAGGCACTCCAATACATGATGTAGGTGGCCTGTGCAGTGCTTAACTTGCTGTACCACAACACCTGCCCCATGTTATCAAAACTTGGCAGCCCTTGAAAAACTCAAGTTTCCAATTCACTGAGATCTATAAGGAATAGATTAAGAACAATGATTTATGCTGATTTACTCTTAGGACCAGTGGCTGCAAAGTCTCTGGTGGAAATTTTATAACTTGATCTTGACATTGTAAAAAAGCAAAATGCAAAGCATAGCTGAGCTCTATTGTGGTAAGGCAACAAACCTGTACTTTTTGATCGCAAAAGAGTCAATGATTTCTCTTAAAGACATAATACTCTAATCCATCCCTGATAAAAACAATTACTTGAAAATTACCATTTTATGTTTGCTCATCATTGAATGCATGTAAGTAAAGACCATGCAAAAAGCTGTATAAAGTCTGTAACATTTCTCAGCAAAGAATACATTTTTTTTTCTCCAGCATCCTTGGTTTTGCATGCTGGCATTGTCCACATAAAAAAAATGGAAAGGTTTGAAGGTGAGCTGAGAAAGTAATACCTAGAGAGTCAGAGACTTAGAGGAATTCAGGAAGACACTATAGGTGGATTAAGGGGTGTTATGATCTAAAGATTCAGGATGTGATTTTGCAATGTGAGGTTAAATCATGAAGTAAATTAATTTTAAACATACAACATAAACATGGATGTTTTGCTGTATTCTACAACATACCTAGTGAACAATGATTGGCTGTAAGGACAACTAATTTATGGGTGAGCACATTGTTAAGCCACGATTTCCATTAAGTGCCTTCTATGTATTCATATGATTAGTAGCTCCATGTGGGGTATTTATGGAAATAAGAAAATAAGATGATGCAGTTAGTGTCCCTGTGGAGTTTGTGTGAACTACTGGCATAACTGAAAAATACACAGATAACTAAGGCAAAGCAAAATGTAAATACCCTCAAGAGTCCCCAAGAAAGTGCCATAAAGAATGTGCCTTGATGGAGGACTCTCATTCTCCCTCCTTCCCTCTGCCTCTCCCTCATCCCAAACAGAATGAAAATGTATAAATAAATAGTATCTGAGATCAGTGATTGTGACTTGATTGACAACAAAAACCCTGAAATACAGTCATTAATGTAAAGAAAAAAAGAACCTTGTATTTTGGAAATTTATCTTATATCACTGGATAATTATGTAGCTTCACTTTTAAATTACTGGGCTGTTTCAGTTTTACATATTATTTCCAAATTCATGTGTGTTTCACACTGGAAAGGAAAAGGAATTATTTTACATAGCCTAAATGACATGTTCATCACTTACATTTTTGGGTGCAGATTACTGAAAAGGTAAAGATCATCCTTGATTTTATGCCTCCAACCTTTGTCAGCAGGAATTTGTACTAATTTACTATATAAGTCACAAAAGCAGAAAGTGATACTCAAGAGAGAGATCTGAAATTTAATTGTTCTTTGATATTTTAATAATCCTTAGCATTTGAATTAGAGGTCTATTTTGTTTCTCTGTAGTCCCTGTAGCTGCCACAATAAATGTTTGTGGACTGAATGTACTAAATGTCTCAAACATCTGTTTCAATTCTTAATGTTAATAATCCATTTGCTTCATCACATAAAATATACTTTTTTTTATCACTGCCTTTTAAAATAGGCACTGGTAGTCTCCATGTGCAAAATAAGACATAGGGAAATCAAACCACATGGTCCAAACAAATAGATAGAAATTAATGGAGTTGAAAGCAGAACCCAAATAATACAACTCAAACCCTAATTCAAAAACTACAAAAACAAAAGAGAGACAGAAATGAGAGAGTATAAGAACAAGAAAGAGAGAGAAGGTCAGAAGAAAAGAGAGGAGAGAGGAGCAAGGAGAGCAGGGGAGAATATATGCATTCGTGAACTTTCCACATCAAGGGCATTACCACATCATTTCCCCTGCTATGAACCTCTTAAATCTCATATGCTAAGTCTGTTAGGAAAGCTCCTATCTCTCCAAGACATTGCAGGTCAGCAAACACATTAAGAATACTCCCAAACAACACTGTTATATATGAATCCTACAGAGTGGGAAACAAAGGAGCTTGCAATTATAGAATCAGTCTTTTTCTGTGCTGTATTTCACCAGCATAAAACTGGCCTGTAAAGTCATGGAACATAATCAAGTCTGGGTCCTTACAAGATTTAAGTTTCAATTTCAAGTCCCAATTCATTCTCTCATAATTTTTCTGCCTTCGTCTACCCTACATACCACACTTAAAAGCCACATAAAAACAGATTACCAGTTTTACTATAGGTTGAATGTAGAAATACTTTCTCTTAGAATCGTTACTGAAAGAATGTGGCACTCAACTTTTAATTTTAACCAATGATACTACATGTCCCCTTTTGTTTCCTTGTCCCTAAATCTGATGATAACCTAAGTGGTCATTTCTATTAATTCTCATTAGCTGGCTTCATACTGTGAGGCTACGAAAAGGAAAGGAATCTCCTCCAGCTGACAGTCCCCATGAAATAAAAGAAAGAGCATCAGTCCCTAAGTTAATCATGTTATTTTTATGATTTTCAAGAGGAAAAATACTTTTCTACCAAAAGGTAATGCATATACAAGAGTTGATTGCTAGGTAAAGTACTCTGAAAAAATGAGACTTTATTATGGATCCTATGCACATGAGAACTTTACCTTACTAAAAAGGACCACTCACTTTTTCCAGAGCTCAGAGTAAAATGCTATAGTATTGATGAAATTCTGTCTGTTACAGGAGGGCATAACAACACATACTGAATCCAAAGTGGTTTATCAGTGATGGACAGTGAAAAGCCCTCAAGCTTAGGGATCTGCCCCCAAGACTCAGACATACCCATTACTGAGACATCGTATTCAATCAGCAGCGTTGCTTCTTGTCCACATTGTTTGAGAATACTCATGGCTTCCGCATGTGTGGTTCCCAGAAGCCGAATCCCATCCACACTGAGCAGCCTGTCACCAGGTTTGATTGTGCCCTCTCTGAAGGGAGAATAAAGGGAGAATCTTCATTAATCTGACACTGTGGGACTTAGCATTAAAAGTCACCTGGTGAAAGTCATTCATTCATACATGTCCTGCTATCCATCCTATTTGCATCCCTTTTAGGCATCAAGTGCAATTTGAAGAGTGGAAGGAAGTATTCCCGAATAAAAATTGCTGTAAAATGAAAACCAGTCATGAGAAAATAACTTTTAACTCTTGAAGTACAAAATTAGGAAAGGCATATTTTCCTTTTGTTAGATTTTGACCTGAATGTCTAAAATTGACTTATTTGAGCCCAGGAAACAACATTCATCAATTTCCCCAAAGTCAAGTGAGCACAAACGCCTGCTAATTTCATTCAATTTACTGCTAGTGGAACACAAGCAGAGTAGGGAGTGCTGCTGGGAAATTTCCCTAGCCTGTTAATTTCCCCCACTGATTTATAAAGCCATCTGGCAATCATTAAATTGATCCTGTCTCACACTCCCTGGAAGAGGCAGGCACCTGCTGTCCTCCCTGCTGTGAGCTCAGAGACCCAAGGCACTGGGAGAAGTTAGCTCAGGACATCAGTGATACCAAATGTGGTCTCTGGATTACACCTTCCCCCACCTCAGCTTCAGCAAAAAGATGAGAAAATCAAATGGTAGAAGTACAAATTAGGGATTTAGAAAGACTACAAATGACTTGTTAAACATCTTTCACTTGGGTAACTCTCTAATTATTCTGACTCTTAATTTTTATTTTAATTTAATTTGATAATACATCATTCACAAACTTGTAGCCTGTTTCTGACATTGCTATAAACCCCAACCCTAAATGTGAATAATCCATAGAAAAAGCTTTATTTCCTTTAGAAAGAATAATTACCAAGAGAAGCATAAGAAGGGAAAAGGCATAATTTTCCTGTAAGTTTTGGCTTTGTGTTATCCTCTGCCATGTCTGTCTGCCTATCCAGCTGAGAAACCATTGCTTCCTTATTTTCTTATTTATATGAAACACAGTCTTAAAAGTGAACTCACAATAAGAAGTCTGAAGGAAAATAAATCCGTATTCCTATATTAGTTCTTCTTACTAGTGGGCAAGTCACTTAAACATACTGGTTTAGTTTTGCCATCCTTAAATGTAGATGAAAATACATATTTGGAGTATTTGGCATAAGGATAAAATCAGATAACATCTGCCAACCATTTACCACAGTTTCTGACACATAGTATGTGTTTAACAAATTTATTATTATTATTATTATTCTGACTTTTTAGAAATATTTTATTTATTTAATTGAGAGGCAGAGTCACGGACAGTGAGAGGGAGAGACAGAGAGAAACCTCCTCTTTCCATTGGATCATTCCCCAGTGGTCAAAATGGCCAGGGCTGGACTGATCCAAAGCCAGGAGCCAGGTGCTTCCTCCTGGTCTCACATGCAGGTGCAGGGGCCCAAACACCCGGACCATCCTTCACTGCAGAGAGCTGGATTGGAAAAGGAGCAGCTGGGACTAGAACCAGCGCCCATATGAGATGCCAGCACCGCAGGCAGAGAATTAACCAACTGTGCCATGGTGCCGGCCCCTATTCTGACTTCTTAAAAAGATTTTAAAGTCTATCCTGATTGGAAACAGAGAAATAATCAGTGCATTTTCCCACTACCCTTCAACAATAGCTCATAAAAGCAGTTGTGTTCTCACATCATTATGGAATTGACTTTTGCTATGGAGAATGAATACAGAGATAAGTAGCTCCAGAGACACCTAAATTGAGTTTTCTTGGAATCCAACAAAAATTCTGATAGGAAAGCCGAAGATGCATGTCCTTCACATATTCACAATAGCAAGGGAGTGAAAACTCTAAATACTGACAAAATTCTTCCCATTTTACTAGAAGTCACTTCCACGTTGACAGAAGCAGTTATCCCCATCCCCAAAGGGAAAAGTAAGGACCAGATGTTTGGCAATTGGTTAAGAAGCATTTTAGGACTCTCACATATCGGAGTGCCTGGGTTTGAGTCATGACCCTTCTTTGTATTCCAGCTTCACGATAAAGCACTCTCTGCGGGACTGTAGGTGATGGTTCAAGTGGTTGGGTCCCTGCTGCTCCTGTGGGAGATGTGGATTAGCTCCTGGCTTCAGCCTGGCCCAGCCCTGGCTGCTGAGGGCATTTGAGAGTGAACCAAAGGATGAAAGATCTTTGCCTGACTCTCTGCTTCTCTGTCTTTCAAATACATAAAATATAATAAAACTTAAAAGAAATACTATTAACAATACGGATGCTGGTAATAGTAAGAACCAGACCACCCCCAGGTGTCTTCCCAGGCTGGAAGAGTATCAGTTGGACAGAATACATTTCACATGTTGGCCTTGAAAATGCCAGCTGCCTTTCCCAAGTGCCCCCTGCAGGAACCATATATCTCCAATCTTCGACAGAACTGAGCAAGCTTGAATGTAGGTATTATTACTTATATTTACAACAGGAAACTGAGATCAGAAGTTAAGCAACTTGCCAAAGATATAGTATCTAAGTGTGGAATCTGGAAGTAACCTTACCTTTTTTCTGATTTCCACAACCCAAATTCTTTCAGTTTTCACATCCTAACATATTTGCTTAATAGCCATATTTTATTACAAACTTACAACTCATCAATTTCTATGCCAAAGTACCCAGGTTTACTAAATCTATTCTGAGTAGTGACAGAGAAAGATGAAGCTTACCTGTCAGCAGGCCCTCCAGGACGAACACATGTTATCACAACTGGGCGAGATTTATTTCTATCATCGTGTGCTCCCCCTAGCAAAGAAATGGAATACAGCTTTAAAAGACTTTCCATGTTGCTATGAAAAAAAAAATTCACTCACAAAGCACAACCTAAGAAACTCAAGTGCATTTATTGACGTATGAAGGAAAACATGAAAAATTTCCCTTCTAGCATAGAACAGACACAAGGTCTTACTGGTTTTCTATATAACATGTGCTTGGAGTCGCCATTTCTCCACCTCTTAGTTCATGTATGGCTGACATCAGGGTAATAGATAAAATGGTTAACAACTGCTATGGCAGGAGGATTAACGAATTACACTACCGACCCAACTGAAAACAACAACCAGTACTCCTTTGTACATCTGATGCCAACCTACTCGGGCTGTACTGCAGGTGAATCAGTAGGTCTACAACATGACATAAAGGAAGCAGAAACTAAAGTCAAAAAAGAAAAAAAGAAACACAGGTAGTGAAAATAAGGAAGAAAAGTGATACAAAAAATTTCAAGTTTTGCCTATGTGGGTGGTCTCTAGTTCACCAGTTTCTGACTAGTAAATACAAATGCTATGGTTGATTATTACTGTCCTAATGTTTGCCTGGCAGGACAGACTGACATTTCCCACACTTGGCACACATATAAAGGTCAACTCAAAAAATCTAGCCTAAGAGAAAAATTAAAAGGCATTCAGTTTCTGATGAAGGCAAAAGCTTCCTTTATGTTTCCTCCTATTACAAGTGATTTATTCAATCTGGTTGACTGGTAAAAGCTCCATCTCAGTGTTTGATTCTTTCAATAAGTCTGACGGCTTCTTAAAAATTCCTCTTCATCTAACATTCAAAAATCACCAGTTCTTCAGAAAAAATTATAGAATGATAATCATGACAGTGAGGTATAGTTAAATGCTTATCAATATTTACGTAAGTACCATTAAGCGATTTCTCTTTTCAAGGTGATTCATAAAACAGAGATTTGCTTTCCTCTGAAGTGGTATTGATTTATGAAAGGATGCAGACAGCGAGATACCTTGCCATAACTTTGATTCTGAAGGTCCAAATTTAAACATGTAACGGGGAATGCATGTTAAAGTATGATATACTTTTAAATTTCTTGATATGTGCGTTTTGTCATTACATACTACACACGTTTGGTGCATGATCCTCTGAGATTCTAGTGTTGAGACCCCTGATAGTATGGTGACAGCCTCAATCCTAGCTGCCCAGCAGCAGCATCTAAGATGTGGGCCTCCCCGCAGCTTTACAGATGTGAACGATGAAAGAAAGTTTCTTCTCTTCAAGTGAAAAGGAACTTAGTGGCAGAGTGCTTTTCCTGTTAGCCAAATATATCTCCTTTGAGTAGTTAGCAAGCACTTAACTCACATTTAAGACTCCAATGTTTAGGACAGAACATCATTTTTCACTCTATGGGTACAGGGTTCCATTGTCTGAGGAGTCAAGATTTTAGATGTCATGACTTACAGCATCAGAAATAATTCCAACCACCATCTAAAAGCTCATTTTAATGTTCAAAGTTCTGTTTCCCCCGCAGGATCACAGGACACACAGCAGACTCATAGAATGGCAGCACTCCTGCCTCAGAATCAATCCTTGGGACATTCGGATCTGACTAAAAGGTCCATGAGAGTCTCACAGGCATGGAAAGCCATGACACGGTGGCAAAAAACAATCTAAATGAAAGATCCTGGTGAACAAGACGCCAGCAGAAGGAACAGGCCATCAAGGAGAGAGGCGCCTTTCTCTGAAGGGAGGAAGGAACCTCCACTGTGATACGGCCTTGATTAAACAAGTTCAGAGTCGGTGAACTCAAGGGGCTTCCATAGCCTAGACAGCTCATGGCAAGAGTCTCGGGTGATTGCTGACATCATAAATAACAGAGCTGCCAATTGTTAAATCAACAACAGGAGTCACTGGGTACA